TACCATTTTTAGGGGGGGGGGGGAGTTAAATCAGAATTGTCTCAATATAATATCCATAATAATAATATAATATCCTCATTCTATGGATGCTAGCCGCATATATGGTCACTTTGTATTGCGAGCAAGCATGATCTGTCGCAGATCGTTCGGAATCGCGCGAATAAGGAATTCATTCTGATGTGAATCTGCTATCCGCTTTCTGTTTCGGCTCACGGAAACAGTACCCTCAAGCCATCACACTACAGAGCTACCACCGTACCTTNTCAGAAGTGCTGGGCCGTCAAACCTGAACCCTTTTCATCACTGATTATCACGTTATTCCGATTGGCCATTCCTCACATATGATATATGACTGCCATTATCTGTATTTTGAACGTATGACTGCTTGTGGCAATTATTGTGCAGTAAAACTTGAATGTCTCGTGTATATGTCCAATCCAAAAATGACTATGGGAATTCCGTTGTTGGAGAGGTAAATAACTTGGGGAATTTTTTCCCGAAATCATGTTGAGCGATGCTTAATCAACCTCCTGAAGTTGTTTATGAACAGTACTTTTGGACTCATGTGGAAAATCGTTTATACAACCGTGTTATAGATAATTGAGTATTTCACTATGTTATGACGGATTTTTCATGTGCAGTATAAATGAAGCATACACTGAAAAGCTACGAAGCACTGTATTCCAATCTGGCTGGGCCGCATCAGTGGTACGAATCTGTCCACCTAGTTAATTGTCGAACCCAGCAACTCACGGGTAGAAAACAAGCATGCTACCCATTTGACCAACGGGCATCTAATCAAACTGTTTTCCTCTTTGTATGGTATAACACAACCCATCTTTGCAAACCTATTGCGAGCATAACATTTCATTCATCCCATCATTAGCCTCTAGCTTCAGCAGGCGGTGGAAGATAAGCCGAACCTGTCATGTTTCACGCGAAGTTAGTTTGTTTGTGGTCGAAATGTAATAGCTAATATCTATATGTTATTAAAAACTTGAGACCCTAGTGAATTTCCAGTTTGAATTCATGCAGCATATACTCATATCCAGTCTCCATTTGGATACTGAGGTTTGATACAGAATTTAAAATCGTACGACCAAAACGTTTATCTCAAACTTGGTGTGGTGAACTTGTAAGAGGTTGGATAAGGCAATGATTGGATATAATTAATCTACGTGCTTGCAGTTCATTGTNGTTGTAAATAAATACCGTTTCAATGTAACTCAAGAGATCGATTTTTTCTATCTTGTGCCTGATTACCGTAGTTGTTCATTTCTGATTTGCTTAAATTAATTGCTTACGCCTCCAACTACCACTGTCCGGCTAAAAATACGGTGCTCCCGCTAAGTGACTGACGGGAGCTAATCAGAGCAAGTGCCGTTGGGTGTCGTCATCCCGTGCTTTGATTCTGGGGGATGAAGTAATTTGTTGACAGTCAATGAATTCATTTCTCAGTCCGTCGGTGGAATTTGAGTCTAACGATCGAATTGAACCCAGTTGTGCAATGTTTCAGCATGATGCACGCGTTATTGCCCTAGTATTGTTTTTACCGCCTATCTTATTGTTTTTCTGTAGCGCAAAACTCGAGAAGAAACCATTCGCAATGCCCTTGAATTAATGAAGCGTTTGTATAATGTGAGTTTGTGATTTATTTGTTGTTTCTTCTCTTTTTTCATCACAACGCAATCCTATCTTGGGTAGAGTAATACCAGACTGGACGGTCGTGCGATATGGTATTTGGCGAGGGCAGCGAACTGATTGATACAGTTACTGACGTGAACATGAAGCAATGCGTTAGAGTTGCTATCGTATGTAGTTATTGTCATTGGTTTAGTCCAAACGCGTAAACAAACGAAAATCTGAGTTTTGTTTTTTGCACTGATAACTGTTATTCGTCTTGCTTTGTTTTACTAATTTGGGGTCAGTCGAGCTTTCCTGTGATCGATCAAAAGCAACACCTATCTAGCTCATCATTAGGTCTGATCGATCATCTCGGTAACAATAATGAGTTTTAAACACGGTGCTCAATAATAGACAAAGGTCATGAAGTCGTCAATAAGAGCAACTGGCGCTTTAAAGTACCATATCAAACTCATTAGCATGCACAGAGTGACTTCTATACTGCGCAGCTACAGTGCATTGGCGCATGCTTTTCGGTGGCTCCCTGGAGCTCATTCGACATGTATATGCTTCCCAATTAGTTCAGCAGGTTTCTTATATAGCGATTTGTGATCAGGTAGAGGATTTCGTCCAGTCATTACAGAGTATCTATCTTCGCATGCCTTGTTTACTTTCAACTTGATTTATCTTGTCGCGCAAGTGGTGGTTTTCCGCGGATGGGATCGCTTCATCTCCTCAGGGTCACAGGTGTGATTTCAGTAAGTGATGTTGACCAGAGCGGTGGAATATACCCTGGGGACACTATCAGCTCAGTGGACTTTTGACAAAGACCTATCCAATATATAATCCCAGCTTCTGGGTCCGTTAAGTTGTCTTCCATAAATCCTAGATAAGCTTTCTCTCTAAGGTCCGTTTCTCACTATTCATTTGGGTTCATTGTGATTATATAGACTTTCTTGTTTCTTTTGTTCATTCCAAGCAACATTTTTGTGGCATATCAGTTGCTTTCATGGTCAGATTAGGTCTGTTTTCTGTGATCACTTGTCATCATCGCACCGACGAATCTTTATGCTCTGGTTGTATCTTCTGTTGTATGCCTCCACTTTATTCGTGGTCTTCCAAACCAACTGCACATCCGACAAGGACAATACTTCTACTAGAACGTACTCTACTCGATGTATACGTAGTAACTGGTCCATTGGAGAACAAGTGAAATCCAATGGATTATGACAAACAGTTCAACATCGAGACCATTACACGAAGATATGTGTGCTCAGAGAGGCGTGACATCCGTATGCTTGAATATAAAAGTAGAAGTCTCTAACGAAACGTTTATTCAGTTTCTTCCCTCGTCACGCTTCATTCTCTTCGTCCGTCAGACCTGCACCTCCCCAGTCAAATAAATGTGTGAATGCCGAATGCCAAAACACACACCTGTGTGCTCATGATCACTTCGTGCTTGATTCATGTTAGAATAAATCACCCGAGTCACGAATTACAGAGTTCAGTTTTTTCCTTGCTAAAGTTGGATACATTCGTGCAGAATCTCACCGTCGTATTTTTGTCAGGTCCTTTATTTTGCGTTGTACGTAGTTCTCCATTCCCAACCTTGCTCCTACATTCTGCTCTTCAGATCAACCAAACCTTGCAACAGCCCATCTCCTATGGTACTTTTTGTATACCAGAGATCAAGGAGAAGGTCAATTTGGACGCAGCTTTTTACAACTGGATTCCACACAATCAAAGTGGTGGTTTGGTAAGTTTCACTTGAGTCGCCCATATATCCAACAACTCTGTGTCTCTTCCCGTACATATATTGTTACTGTTATCATCAACTTTAAATGACAGCAATGTGAACGATATACTGACTGACTGTTCGTGCATCCACACTGCAAATAATTGTTACTTTATTGGCTGATTGGAGGTGCCATTGTTGCTGCATTCCTCTGATTCTTCAACTAATGATCAGTGAATCTTCTTTACCGATTACTCTACTCCGCCTGAATTGACCCGATCGACTGATTGAGAACCCTCTTGTTCAAACTGTTTGCGAGGAATCAAGCTGCGGCCATTAAGTTCCACCTATTCGGTTTATCAATCTCACTGTGAATAGCTCTACATATTCCCTCTCTGTTCATGTTGCACACTGGTCTGCTCTAGTGAGGTCGACTCCATCTCCCTCGGCTTCTTCCGTTCTTGTTGTTATAATCTTCACGGCATCATACATCTCTGCCTCCGATAGCCCGAACTATTCAGATTGTAAAACGACCGGGTTGAGATATCGTTTTTAAATAAATGTAGTATGCAGTTATAAACTACAAATTTCTACTAAAGATCGACTGGTAGGTTGAAACCAGCAGTGATAATATCGGCATTTGAACTTGAGTAATTTGGACTAGGACCATTTGGGGATCCGAGCGATACTCGTACACCGTTGAATTTCGCCACTCAAGTAAACTGCTGGGATACCAAAACAGGAATTGATTGTGCTGTGTGCATGTCTTCCGGTGAACTTTTTGGATGAGTAATGGTAAAAAGAAGTGAACACGATCGATCCAATGATGTGAATAAAATGTGTACGTGTTTCGCCTGGTGTTTGGCTCCCTCTCTCATTGAATCCTCCCCAATACGCTCAGTCCATAGCTTCAAGTGAACAGTTTTATACACACAGTGACCACCTTTCACCTCATTTTATTCTTATTTCATCCTTCGTCTGATATCGTCCTGTCTGTCTGCTGAAACGTTTTTCGTATGTTCTCATGCGAGTTGTCACGAGCAACAGTGGTAAGCAACAACAGTTATGGTTTACAGTCCCTCCTCCCCCCCTCCTTGAATTTCTGTTCTGAGCATATGCCAAGAACTCCTCCGTAGACAAATAGTATAAACACTTCCCCAGCTTGAAATATTTTACCACACGATTTTTTATCGATAATAAAGTATCAAAATTAAGCAGTTGCATCATGTTTGAGCTTTGTTGCCACTATGCCTACCGGTTCATGCGCGGGCTGACCAGAATCGCCAACCCATGTTGGTTCATGTTTATTTGGTGTCATTTTCACTTGTGGCCAGTCAGTTAGCAGGTACTTAGCTGTTCTCCTTCGTTGCTGTCGGGCCAAAATGAGGTGACTGACAATCCTAAAGAACGACACCTGAATAAACATGAATTATTCATTCTGCTCAACCCCGATATGAGCTGTTTGGAACAGCGGAACACGCGCTTTCCGTTCGATGGGTTCGCGGTTCCAATCCCGGACGTGATGGTCTACACACACTACTGACTTCTAACAATTGAGAGAAATTTCACTCTTGTTCTCCTCAAGTGTATGATAGTCTGGATGAATTGAGGATTGATTATGAAGTTGATATCCGAACAGTCCAGGTCACAAATAGCTGCCAGATAAGCATGAATTAACAATTAAATTGTTGTCCGCTGTGAATATGGTTCCAGACAGCAAGTGGTGAGTTAATTATACAGATTCGCACCATGAATTATTTAAGAATGCCCATAAAGATGATGCAATATACTCTCAGCCTGGCGTTCGCTATTAGCGTGAATTGTAGTTTGTGTTGAAGGCCGGAAGAGGGAATCTAGAAATGAGGAAATTGTATGGTAATATAGTTCAGGTAGCACTGACTGGTTTTTCTTGTATGCACGATTATTCATGTCAAAATATCGTCAGCGCTTTAGCTGTCCATAAACTCCCGGATTCTAAATGTCAATGGTAATCTCGTGAACTGTTGTTAAAGGGAACACCTCGTAATGCCCATCTCATTATCTTGATGGCCCGGGAATGATCAACTAAAGTTGTCTATCCATTATGGGTGGTGGTGGGGCAGTGGTTTGGTCACGCTCACCGACAATCTTTGAACCCTATGGTCCGAGGTTCGTGCTCCGCTGCAACTACCCAACTTTGGTGGTAGGCAGCTTTACTGTCGCCCGGTTCAATACCATGCCATAGATTACGTTGGTTGGGACATGTGTTACGCATGTCACCAGATAGGATGCCACGGCGAGCAATGTTCACCGAGGCAAGTAGTGGGTGGAATAAAGTCAAGGGTGGCCAAGCTAAGACCCGGTACGATGGTATGAANGTCCCGTTAGGCTCCCTGGTTGGGGTCTTCGGGATGATCGTACCCGATAGTTAGAGACACTGAGTAATATGGCTGGGTGTCGTAAACAGTGACGCTCTTACATCGCAATTTCTTTGGAAACTTGAACCACTGAACTTCTCCATTTTCTTTTCGACTCCACTTTCAACTTTCCTTTCTTCTCCTATTCTTCATCCAAATGGGCAGCCAAAAGACAGCAACCAAAACCGGCGCACGAAAGTGCATGGTTGAAAGTTGTACAAACTGGAAACTAACCCAGCGGGGCCTTATGTGATTCGCCACTCCAAATTCCTAGGGTTAGGTTGCCGGTTTCCATTATTAAACAGCAGGTCATCGTAACTATGGGGTTTACTCCGTCTGCTGTTCATCACACTAAGGTGTGCCATAAAAACGCTACCAGTATGTATTTGTTCATCCTCATTGAGCTATGTGAAGAGAGGGAGCGCGCGAGAGAGAGAACAACAGATAAATTTCATCACTACAGTTTCTTTCAGTAGCCTTATTCAGTTTCACGTATACGGCGTCAACGCGCTGAATATTTGAGGGTTAAATGTTTTTTCTATGGCTTATCAAAAATGTTCACTCTAGACGTCCGTTGATGGTTCCCAGTGCGATGACTTGCGTTTCCCTGTACGAAGCCATTAAATTATTGATTTTCTTTAGGCTCCTAAATTCGAAATGTCGCAATGAGTTTTTGAAAGAGCCATGTCGTGACTATTATGTAGACTTAATTAAGGAGAGCTTTGGCTTCAGTTTTCAAGCATAAGTTGTTAAAAATGAAAGTACCATCTGATTCCAATTTATACGGAATATAATCCTTTGGGTAGTTCTACCATCTCTCTTCCTCAACAGCACGTTATAGGTGACAGTCTTCTTTATCCAGTTCAAAATTTAGCTAATGACTTGATTAGATGCATTAGTTACCAGAGTGATCACGGACACCCTTGCCCCAGGTGGAGGCTCGCCCTTGCACTCTGGCGGGTTGAAGCCTGCGACAATTCCTAATCGGGTGTGTTGCTTTTGCCAGTGGGGAGGTCTTCGGACCATCCCTTTTTTCAGGCAGCTTTTGTATGGCCGCCGTCCCATTCCTGAATGTTGACTTTACATTTGTATATTCAATAAATAAATAAAAAAGTAAAAAACAATGTAATGATAGAGCTGTCGAAGCCGCCGGCAATAGTGTGCGGTGGTCCAAACTGTCCTAATATCAACCCCCGTTATTGCCGCTCCATTTTGGGGGCAGCAGGATTTTCTGTTATTCAACATCGTGCCATCATGAGCTTACTTGATATGTTTCTCCCATTCTATGGGTCTGCTCCACAGCCGAATAGTAAGTGCTTGAATCTTAGGCGTCCGCTCCTATTTACATCGAGATGTATAGCTTAATACCTCGGGAAAACTGCTTGCTGTATCATGGACTTATTCGTGGGTAACCAGTTATTTATATGCTGAACGGACGGTTGTTAGTTTATTTTATTGCTCGATTTCTGAGTTTACCGGCTCAATTTTGTTAGTGAATGTTTGCACTGCCTGTTTTCAGTCGAACCGCGCAGGTGGTGAAGTAAGAAATCTGTCCAACACAGAACAGGTAAAATGTTCACGACCAGCCACTCTCGCTTGGTGTTTTCGCTCATCGGAGTTTCATCTCGTGCCTTGTTGATTGATTCACTATCTCACGAAACGCGTAACTGGAAACGACGGTTCGAAATACCTACTCAAATCGTCTCTGTATGGATGGCATTTCTAATCCAAGTAAAACTACCGACTACTCGTTACTGCAAACCCACGTAACGTGTTTGGTTCTTTGATAGTCACACGTCGTTTGTCGACATGACTTTAGGCCAGAGTCAGTTGTGGCAGAATGAGCTGATATTTTTGTTATCAAAAGAAAATCAATAAGTGGGTTCCCGAGAGAGAGTTCGAACCTTTGGGTGGAAGTCTGGATTGTGTCTCAGAATCTTTTACCAGCCAAGAATTAGTCGAAAACACAGACGGAACTAAACAAAGCTTCGATCGATCACGTATGAAAAGATACGTGGCAGTATGGATCGATGATCTGACTACCAGACTCAAACACGTTTGGAACAGTCACGGGTTGGTGCACGCGATCGAGAGAATAGCATCGGAACACACTTTTGGCCGTGTTCGTTATCTGTTTAATTAGGGGTTATTTAAATGCAAACAATCCAAACGCATAACTCATTGAATCAGCTGTCTCCTGTGATAAAATTCGGAAAAATCGAACTATCTCCTTGCGGTTGTGCAGTTCATGATTATCCGCGTAACAGAAGTTCCAGTAAAACTCAGTTAGTGGATTCATTGATCGATTTGAAGTAGAGGCATCGCAACGCGACCCCGAATCCTCCCGTTCTTCTTTTCACGCAAACTCTTTGATACGCATAATAGGGAGTTGATTTCGATGAGTTAGAGAAAAATGGACCTCATCATGCATTTGTCCTCAACCCTTCCCCATCCTACTCATCGAACTAGCTTCGATTCATTCCCAACACCATTCGACATGCATCTCCCAAGACTGTTTCTTCATCACTGTTTTTCGTTCTCTTACCCGACGGCTTCCGTCCGATATTTACCTTTGGAACCGGGGTGAATGATCGTTGCTTGTAACTTAAATTATTGACACTAAACTGCAATATCCCCGGTGCTTTGCCGTAATGCTTGATAAATGTCATTCAGTGACGCTCACTGTCACGTTAAATTGTCATCCCATTCCTTGAGCACATTTTTTTACAAAACTAAATTCTGCTCCTGCACTTTCTGTCTTCCTCGCCGTCATTTTCACATCTTTCGGGGATTGCATGTCATTCAGTTTAATCAACAGAGATCACTCTTTTGTTGCATACTTTTCCCGCTACTCATCACCATTCCTTGGTTGGTGTGTCTGGAGTCTGGTCGAATCCGCTGATCTGTTTGTTTCCAGCCCAATATATGCATAGAAGTCACACAGACATGTGTGAGCACATTCTCTCACCATCAGAAACGGGAACGTCTAACAGGGTAGAATGACGAGCGAAAATCACTGTGCTGGTCGATTCGGGCTCCTCTCTACGTAACTTTCCTGTCAATAGTTCTATTGTCAGTTCGCCGTCAATCTCTTCCTGTTCCTGTGATCCAATTCATACCCAATGGTATATCCGTTATTTCTCAAACTTTTGGTCACATGTTCTCGGCAAAATTCATCGTAATTAAATACCTGCAAACTACTGTCCCTTGATGGTGTTCATTTGTATGGGAGCTATGCTAGGCTCTTACCCGATAAAGATCGTTCGTGACGATCTCAATTCCACTAAATTCATCTCTTACCCACCCAACTCTAGTACCCAAACGGTCTGGAACAGTTAGAAGGATGAATCCCAAAATCATGAAGGCTTGCTGTTTGAGTATGGGAACCGATGGTCTAAGTCCTATTCGGAGTTCCGCACTACATGAGGTTCCACCGGAATAGACGAAATATCGAGCCCCACAACACGAAAACGCTTTCCACCACCAAAGTGTAGTAAGGAATGGTAGGATTCGAACCTCAGGTTTCAGGGCGTAGAGTGCGCCAGTAACGTCGATTTCAACTGTTTGCTCTTCATCATCCTGAGAGGTGATCAGTGTCCTCCGGTTGGATGTGTCATTTCTTTTTAATCTATCTCACTGATCCTCGTTATCAGCTCACCCTTTGCAAAGAAGCAAGATTACACCTTTATCAATCAATGAAAGTGCTGTATATAACGACCTTTTAGGTGAAGGACTCGTTTGTCATCCAATAACCAAAGAATTATGATTTTTTGGTGGTTTAGAACTCACCGATAAATACGAGAGAAGGGGGTTCTGCGAGCTATACTAGAATTCACTATCACGTTCACCATGCGGTTGTTTTCATCGTTGTTCGTCTGTATTCTGCCTTCGATTCTTTATCTCCCCCCTCCCTTTCAGCGGTTTTTCTCGTTTTGTGATTATCCGTTCGTTTTCGATGCCCCAACCAAAGCACGCATGCTCAGTCTCGAGGCCCGTATGTCCATGCAAGCCGCGACTAATCGAGCTCAGGAAAATACCCTGATGAACTACTTTATGTCCCCGTTCCTAGACGTGATGTCTGCGGACAGTCCATTCCTCAAGTTGACTGTGCGTCGAGACAAACTTATTCAAGACACCCTCGCCTGTCTGACTATTGCCAAGCCGAGTGACTTACGAAAATTGCTCAAGGTGAGCGTGTATTGTGGCCGGACTTGGACGCGAATGGCACAGCGCGACCATGCAATACTGTTTTCCATTCCAATGATGAATAATTCTTCCTAGAATTTTTCTACCTAGCTTCATGTCACAATCCATTCCTACAAGTGTTGTCCTTGGTTATTTGGTCTTCATCGGTGGTTTGTGGCGTCTCTACCAATTTGTTCACTGATTGGTTCAGGGAAAGCTCCCGGAAGACTGTCCGTACTCCTATCCGGTCAGCAAGTCACGCGGTAAGATTTGCGAAACACTAGTTTCATTTTCTCAACAGCCCATGGCCTAGTAGTGGTCTCGCACTTCAAGCGAGCGTCCTTGTGCTCGGATATTGCGCCTCAGAACACCACTTCCTTCCACATACTTGCAGTTCGCTTTCAGCTACATTGTGAAACTTGGAGAAAAAAGACTTAAGAGTCATTTCCAGTTTTGTCGAGAGTTCACGGTAAAATGCATTTTGTATAAGTTCACCTTCATTGAAAGTTTCTTCCACTGGTTTGGACAGAGGGATTTCCGATAGTAGGTACCGGATGCGCTGGTACAATATCAATCGCAATAGTTTGGTAATGGGAAATAAACATTCTCAGCAGCTCTCTGACTTTACTCGAAAAATGCTCGAAGGAGGCTTTAAAATGAGACCCATTCAATCAGAATGATTCATAATCCCTGTAATAAATTAGTAATTGACCACCGAGTCAATCCATTTTGGAAATTCCCGTTTAAATATGAGCGTTATGTTTACTGTCGGAAGACTGGAAGAAACACTTTCGGACTCGTAGTCCACTGAGCTAGAAGGCAAAGCAACTTCACTCAGGCGTGGTATAGTTTGGTCTGCATATGATTTGATGATGATAGATTTTTCAAAGCAATCGATGGCATCATTGGAGCAGATGGAACACGTGATTTTTGGCCGCCGATCTTTACTCAACAGTGGGTACGAAAGATTGTGATTCGCTTCGTTAGTATACTGTCATAATTTTGATTCATTTTTCATGAACTCTGTTATGTTAGGAAATACGATACCTGCATACGGAAATACTCGTTCAAATTGTTGCTAGACTGTGAGCGATCGAAGACCAGTCGCTTTTGCTCTCTCTTTAGAATTTCAATTTTTATCTTGCTAACCGATTTCTTTCAAGTTTCATTGTATAACTTACTGACGAAGTTTATAACCGGACTAAAAATCCGTAAGTGAATTCTAACAACTCTTGAAAAACTTGAGTTCCACCTTATTCACCGTGATTATACTAGAGCATAATCATTCTTCGAGTTATTTTCTTTTTTGCTTCTGAAATTTCGGAAAATGGGCTCTTCCTGAGAGAAATATCCATCACTGAAGGCCAAATCATTACCGACTGGTTATAAGAAGCGAGCCCTTTCGGTCTAGTTGGACCCAAAATAAGCGAATCGGATACTGTCCAAGGTATGACTGTTATGGTTCAAAGCATCATTCTGTCGCCATGTCTTCTGGTTTCAGAATAGACTGTGCAGAATCCACTGGGACTCTGCATACTGCGGAGAAATACCAGCGGTGAACGCAGCTAGAACCAGACTAATGGGGTTTTGAACACTGCGGAGATTAGACTGAATATTCATTGAAATGACGAATGAAGCAGAGGGGGCAGTAGGCAAGGAAAAACAATCGGAAGCGATTAGAAATTGTTCTGGAGCTGGTCCGGAACTGGTTGTCGACAATTAGTATATCCGAGATTTCGAAGGCCGCGAGTTGGGCGGTCAGTGTGCACTCGAAACGTATCAGTATACAGGTCAGAAGGGCAGAAACACGGAGGAGCAGATATGTAACAAAGCCTCGAATATTGGTCAGTAATTAATTGAAGGAAAAACATCCAGAGCAGCGAACTGTCCGACAAAGAGTCATCATTGATAATGTGCAATTGCGATTGATCGAGGGTCGATAGGAACGCAGGTGGGAAACCAATCAGAGTTGAGTTCAAACAGGCACGCTTACACACAATCGATGAACCAGACTAGAATGCAACCAATGAGAGGAGAGGAAAAGGGGGAGCTACAGTGGGGGGATGAAGTGAGGGTGAGGGTGAAACATTCCAATGCGGTAGTAATGCACTGAGACCGGCCATGATCGAACGTTGCCTCACTAACTGTCACTTAACGATAGCCTTACATCGAATCCATGTGGGGATTCAACAGACAGTATTGTTGATATCGTTGCATTTTCCCGTTGTAGGCTTTTATCCACATTGACTGATTTCTTATACAGTTTTACCTTTTGTGGACGATTTATTGTCCATGTTTTTTTCTGGTTTAGTGATGCCTAGTGCGTATGGCTGCACATTTTCAAAATGAAGATTTTTTTCACAACTATTTTTACAGGTGGAATTTGACGGTGAAGAAGCTGTTGACGAAGGAGGAGTATTGAAAGTGAGTTGATTGATTTGTGTACCCCTTCCCCTCCGCCATTTATTGGCCCCGATTATCTGTCTAGCTACCCAGAACACCATCACATCTCTTAGTCCTCTCTCATGTTCCAATGTGTTCTCTTACGGTCCCCATTCCAGGAATTCTTCCTTCTAATCATGCGCGACCTTTTGAGTCCCATTTATGGCATGTTTCGGTGTTATCCGGAATCCCGTATGCTCTGGTTTAACGAATTGGTAAGTCACTTGCGTGCATTAATTGCACTTTGTGATCTGTGCTGAGGACTCGCCAACCGATTGACATGGGAATTATGAGAATTCGAACTAACTATCCATTGACGTGTAACACAAAGACAGTGACTACTTAGAGAATAAACAAGATTTGTGTATCGGGCAACAGATATGTATTTATGTTGTAAACTAAGAGCGTGAAGTAGTTTCAGTGCTAACGAACGAAAGTGAATGATTATATAGAGTTCATACTCGTTTGCATTGTTATTTCACTGTTGCGTGTTGTTCGGTCGCTCATGGTTGGTCCCTGTTGGGACGACGATCATTGCTATCCGTCCCAAGATAAGCCCGGCTGCATGTTTGCTAATTCTGTGAACAAAATCGAATAAATTTCCCACATATTCGACCCTAATTAGGGTCATCTCGGATCAATATTAATCTCGAGGAGATTAATTAATAACATTGCGTCGTACGGCAATATTCACTCTGTCCTTCCGTCTGATCCGTGGCCTATGACTGGCTGAACTTTACTCTCTGTGTATTTGATTAGCACAATCTTTCCCTTGCATTGATCGATGTTATTTTGAGTCACATAAGCATCAGAGTAAAACTTGTAAATTGACTTGTGACTTGTGTTCAACGCCAAAAACCCGTACTGCTGAAGTTGTGCCTTCTCTATCGTGTTTTGTGAGGCCTGAGAAATCGATAGCCGATCTTGCATCCTATGTTTCGCCTAGGTGGCTCCCGCTCCTAGAACTATCATTCGTTCACGGACTTAGGGCTAGTCCGTTGTCCTCGTGTTCCCGTGTGCTACTAGGGTTACTGTGCTATATCGTGTGTTCTTGCACTTTTGGTATTCACCTGTGATATAGTGCTGTGCGACATAATAGTAGCCAGTGGATATAAGCGACGCAAAACATGACAGTCCCAGAAGGCAGTTGGGCGATTCTACTAGCCCGTGTGCTCTGAGAATCGTTTGCACCGTTAATAGCATCAGATTTGTTAACAAATCACAGAATACTATCACGAGTGGTCCACCAACTTGGTGATAACCCTAGATGTTTCACTCAAAATGATCGCACCTTTATTCGGCGTAGTTGCTCACGGAAACGAGTGAACCATCATTCGCCTATCTTCTATTACTTCATAATGTGCACTTGTTCTGTGTGGCAAGTCTCGTATTTAATGTTTGTGGACCCCTCTAGAAGTTCCAACACATTAATGGGGTTACCTTGGGCTAAATCGACATTGAACTCTTACACGACTCGCCGTTCATGTTCTCTCTGTCATGCAAAAACAGCATTTTTTTATGGAAAAGAAGTAGAGGTTAGTCTCCGAAAGTGTCGATAATTCAGAAGACTTGGCCGAGCAGAACGAGGTTTTAGTGAGGATTGTAATGTTAACTTCACAACGGTTTAAATTGGAATCGTGCATAGAAAAATGCAAGCCAGGTACAACAGCGGGGGAATCAATCAACATGAGACTACTTGCTAATAGGATACTTCCGTATCTTATTGCAAGAGCGATAACAATCTTACAAAAACGAATCTGAAGATAGGAGGGTGGTGACATTCTGGTGTTGATTTGTTCTACAAGCTGAAAGTGTTGTTCGCAGACATTTGATGGCCAGGCTAGAGAACATCAGCAGTGACACTTCGGTGACATGATTTGTTTTATTTTCTGTACGTCACTCCCTAGAGCAAACATTTCAGCGGAATAGACAAATTTGGTCGGTCCTGACTATGTTCATTGTAGGGGGAAATGTATGCACACTTGAACACAACTTCTTTTCGGTTTGTCTCATGTGATTATCGAATCGATGCAGTCAGTTCGGTGACTTCTGGTCTACAGATACGCCTTGTTTCTGTTTATGCTGGCCCATCCCGGATCCTTTTGAATGATGGGGAAGTCAGTGGTGCGTTACTCACTGGATCAGTTTTACGTTTAACTAATTACTTTGTTGCTAAGTTCTATGTAAGACCCCTTCGATCCGATCGGTGAATCTCTCTTTTGGGGACACCGTTCGTCCGTGTGAATGTCAATATCTTCCATAATTTTCATTATCTCCGTCTCTCCCTACTATAGACCATGGAGTCCGCTAGCGTGTTTCAACTGATCGGTATCCTATGTGGGCTAGCTATTTACAATTCGGTCATTGTCGATCTGAGCTTTCCGTTGGCCTTATTTCGCAAGTTGTTAGGAGAGAAACCAGAACTGGATGACTTGAAAGAACTGGATCCCGTAGTCGGTCGTTCTTTGCAGCAGCTGTTGGACTATGAAGGTGCTGATTTTGTTGATGTTTTCTGCCTAACGTTCTCGGTGAGTACTGCGTACTACTTGTTTTCACAAGAATGATTTACTTGTTTATTGGTTTGATTGTTCCCGTTCTCTTTCTCTGGCTATGAAAGTGTGTTTCTCATGCCAAATCATTGTATCAAACAATACTGGAAAGTTTTACAAATGCTTGTTGTATAGTTGTTTCATCCTTGTTAGGAATTACCACTGCAGTGCATATCTCCCGACTCCCCAGGAGTCAAACTCGGGCACTATGGGGTGGTCAATCCAAGGTGCTCATCAATCAAACTATCCGGACTGACTCTCAGTAACCCCTTATGTGATAATCAGCAGACAGGGGATATCAGTCACAAAATCCTACGAGTCACTCATGGAAATTGGCAACTTAAACCGTGGGACTTGGGGTAGGACATCACGTGGGTTCCCACTAGGACAGGTGTGGTATTAAGCCCGATGACAGGAAGCTACCTACTGCCAACATGTGAATTTTAGCAGAATAATTAGCACCTCAAAGAAAATAGGTAATGCAGCGCATATTAGAATCCCAATAAACACTCAGAGTCACGTCGAATGTTCTTTTCTTCCAAGGATGCTGCTCTACAGAATACATTATTTGGACAGGAATGTTCTTGCTTGTTCAAGCCTCACTCACCAAGCAGTTGTATCATTTCTATCCAGCTCTGTTCTTTCCATGTTTTTATACATTATTCAATCCGTTGGCATAAAGATCCATTCTCTCCTCCCTAATTTTTTGTCGATGACGTAATTTTACAAACATTGTTGAAGGGTAAACGGTCATGCAACGGGCTACCACCTGCTACAAAAAAGATGAAATGATGCTTTGCGATGGCACTGGTGAGATTTCAACACACGAAATACAATACAATGTGATGGTGAGCAGTACGACATAGTTGACACGTGATCGGGATCGAGGTACGCGTGAAACACGAGTGTCCCAATGAAATTGTCAAGCTGCCTCACAAAATTGTTAGTGATCGCGGATAAACTTTACCATTCCATTGCTTGCTGCTTGTCTTTCCCTCCTCTTACCTGTCATAATCCTTTTTCTTGTTCTTCACACTCGTCACTTTTCAGTTGGATATCGATTTCTTCGGTGAGAATCGTTGTATTGAACTGATTGAGAATGGTTCAAACATCTCGGTCACCCAGGAAAACAAATCACTCTATGTGGAGAAATATGTGGACTACGTGTTCAGTCGTTCTTGTGAAGGTCCATACAAAGCATTTGAAGGTGGATTTATGCAAGTTTGTGCCGGTTATGTGCTTCACTTCTTCCGGCCCATGGAATTACAGGTAAACATTTAACCAAGTTTGCATAGATATTTTTTGTTGTTCTACTTTGCCACCAGTCATTCCCCTTCATCCACGCACTTCTGTTTTGGGATTTCGTGTGGTTATCTCGTTTACTTCCGTGGAACAGCGGTCGCTACCGAACATGTCTATGTCGCAAATAGGAGAACGGTTGTTATTAAGTGGGCATTGTTTCACTGAAAAAGCAGTCGCGGATGTGTGGAGTTTCCACTTGACAAGTGATCTCCATGCAGCAAAAAAATGAAGGAAAGCATTGCAACGTGTGCGAATCTGGCTAACTGTTCAATGAGGCCATTGTCGTCACGCTTTAGATCTATGTTTAGGTCACACTTGTGTGTACAGATACTAAAGATACAGGGTCGAGTGATGTTATAGACGCCATTTGCATTACATTCCAAAGATTCTTCCTGGATTCATCCACGAGGCTTGCTTATACTCCTATCGGAGGAAGTCACCTACAAATAAAAGTTATGGAATCCTCTTCCCTCTGAATCATTCATCACAGTGTGATATGGATAACGATTGGATACAAATGCAACCACGTAACTGTGTTCCCTATGCAAACAAACTTGCTGTGGATCAGAGCAATGAAGGACGTCGATCTGGTCAATCATCTGATTGAACTGTGTATGTGTGTGTAATTCTGGGACTATGGGAAGCAACAGCACAATAGATGTATTACAATTACCACTTCGTACCAGGCTCACGTCTTGGGACAAACGATGGTGCGCGTATATCATTGCGTAGAGCAAATCATTTACACGTATATATTCGCGTAGTAAACATTGGAACAACAACACAGGTTGGCGAACAAACTCGTTTTCAATATCACATATATATGGCAATACAGCACAGTGTGGCGCAGTGGTTTAGTCACTGTCACCGTTGCGCTTTGGACCCTGTGGTTCGAGGTTCGAGCCCCGCCACGGCCACCCAACTTTGGTGGTAGACAGCTTTGCCGTCACCCAGTTCTGTACCACGCAGACTTATCGGGGCCATATCTGGTTCACCACTCCAAGTCCCAGGGATCAGGTTGCCGGTTACCACCACTGAACCGCAGGTCCTAGTGACTATGGAGTCCTCCTCGTCTGCTGTTCATCAGACTCCGGTGTGTAATCAATTGTTAACAATACATATGGAAGTTGATACTCATTGGATTGAGGTTCGTCGGAGATGTGTTCGTTTCCATCTTCTGCTCGTGACCAGTTTCGTGCTGTGAACTGGGCCATTGGAACTCGAGTACTGCCGCCACCGAATTGAGACACTACTGCGTTGGAGCTCAAGTTGATCGCTCTGTTAATTAACCAGATGGGTGATGTTCGAGGATGCTGTCCAACAGATGTTGAATCGTGTGGGGCTATCTACGTAATCCCACCAGCACAAAATAAGTTCGCAGAACCGAGCAACTTATCTCTCTGTCGTAAATACCTTCACTGATTCGTATGCGTAAACAGAACGTGCAGCTTACCTGCATGGAGCATATAGTTGACATCGTTCCCTTACCTTCCTTCAATATTTTTAGTCATCGTTTCGACTGTGAATAGAAGTAATGAATGAACAGGTTCGTTCTTTCTTTCACTGTGACTTTCATCACATCTTTTCTCTTCATCATGCTTCAGTCCACAAAATGTTCTCACCAAACGTTCTCCACAACAATTTTGCATCCACACC